TTGTCAGCCTGCAAAAGGAAGTGCTGCTATTGGCAGGATCTCCAGTTATGAATCTTTGCAACAGATGCACAAAAATATTTGCTTAAGAAAACTGTGTAAAGTGAGCCACAATGCCACAAATACTGAAAGATACATGTAGGGTTTACCTACAAGTACAAGAAAGGCTCTTGTATGGCAGTTTCTAAACTCCAGTTTCTAATTACTATTGTCTTGGAAATTCGCTTTAACGAATTTCTCCTTACCGTGAGTACTCGCAGTTGGATGCGCAGAAATCCCCCATAAAGCTGTGCGAATCTCGCTTACCACGACGCTGCAGCTAAACTACACGATTCCTGCCCATCCAAATACTTTGGTTCTGTTGAATTGTGGGAGAATTGGAGCTCCGTTACCCTAGAATGATCACACGACACTCTTAGGATGGTTGCAATCCACATAAGGGCTAATTTTAGACCCAGCTCTCTGTTTTATTAAAATACACACATGCCCCCCCACATGAATAAAGTCAATCCCTCCCACCGAACAATGCAATGGGGATTGCCTATACAGAGGATGTACATTCCAATTGGAGCATAGCCTTTGCTATTATCTATCACTGGTCCTCCCCCATGAGTCTTCTGAGGTCAGCAGACTTCCTCCCCTTCCCCCCTATGAGCCATCTGAGGTCATATTTCCTGTCCTACTAGCTTCTATTGGTATGCAAAATTCTCTGCACAAGCACTCCCTAAAAATATCAGTCTGTACCTGGATGGGCCCGATACGATCTTTATTAAAACACATCCATCCGAGATACAGTTCAGATTAGTAATGGGTTGTAAGATATGCATAAGCCTACACACGGAGTTCACACCGCTTGCGCATTGCGTTATGAAGCCCATGTGGTACCATGCTGCTGATATGTGGATACAGGCCCACGGTCTACTGACAGCAGCATTCGCATGGAATGCCGTGGTGGGTATACACGCCGGTCTATAAGCGCAGATCTGCCATCTCATCCATTACCAAGCTGAGTACTGTAATACATACATTGTACATGCGCATGGCCCAATTGCAGCCTTCAGAGCTTTAATTAAGCCACACGAGAGACATATGAATAACACGAATATATGACACATTTAAAGTTCGACCAATAATACAAAATTTCCATGACACTATGTAGTGCATAAGCCCCAATAAGTACACAAAAAACTTTCTTTACCTTCTCTGACTGTGTCTCACATGATCCCCCTCCCAGACACTGCACTTCACAGTGGAAGGTGGGGGTGGGTAGGAATTCGGCAACAGAGACAGTGCTGTAAATCAAGAAAGTATTGGGCAGAACTAGGTGTGGCCAGGTGCTGATTGACAAGCTACAGGCCTGCAAATCAGCAGTGAAAAAAGGCTGATTGCCACACCCCCTGCAACATATTTTATCCCATTATAGTGTGCAAGCAGACACAGCCTACATGAAAGTGGCAACTCTGCTCTGAATTCAGGAACAGTGCAGCATAGCTGCCTCACCATCACAGGAAGCTGCATTAGGTGGACATTACTGGCAGGATCAACAAGTAGGTCTTTGCAGGGGAAATGAAATAAAACTCTAAGTGCAGATGTCCTTACAATTAAGTGCTGCAGTGCATATTTGTACAATGGGAGGCCATAGTTCTACTTTAAAGAAGAATTCCAGGCATGGTATATTTTTACATAGTCACATTGCTACTTCAGTGAACTCCACTGGGTTCCAGGTCCCATGCTGAGTGGCTGGCCTGATCCATTATGAACACAGGAGGTCAGTCTCTCAGCATGGGTGCCATTTAGAGAATGCTTTACATTTTCTGAATGCAAGCAGAGCAGGGGCGGACTGACAACTCATGGGGCCCCAGTGCAATAGGGGTTCATGGGGTCCCTGTGTCCTTGCCCAAACTCAAAAAAGCCTATGAAAAAGGTACCAGGGGCATCTCATGGGGCCCCCTACTGACCCCGGGCCCTTGGGCAGCGCCTGAGTTTCCAAATGGTCAGTCCGCCCCTGATGCAGTGTGTTCTCTGATTGAACAAGGCAGAGAAACGGGGCAGTGACATCACACTCTCCCACCTCGTCCAATTAGAATACGCTTTGCTGGCCACTCAGCACAGGACCTGGAATCAAGTGGAGATCACTGGAGTAGCGGTGTCTGCTTCAGTGATTTCTAGCTTCCAGGGGCATCAGCCAGGTATGGTATATACCATGCCTTGAATTCATCTGTTAACGCTTGCCAACCTGCCGCAGTACATTTTCTGGTTGGCTCATATAGGCACAATCACGTTCCTGTATGTCGCAGCTTTCTTCCGCTCACGCATGCACATGCAGATTCACAAAACTGTGCTGTCATTAGTTGCAGCACAAGCCGATCAGTGGGACCCGGCTAATGATTTATGGGCAGAACATGCTGATCGGCTCAGGGAATGACAGAAGAGGGCTCTGTATTGGTAAACAATACAGGGCTCTCTACAGACAGCAGCGATGTGCCATTTTTTTTCTCCCTGTAAAACAGGGAGAAAAAACTGGCACATTGCTTACAAAAACAGCACACAGTACACACTAAACATTGTTAGGCACACATTTAACCCCTTGATCACCCTAGATGTTAACCCCTTCCCAGCCAGTGTCATCAATAAAGTGATAGTGTACATTATTAGCACTGATCATTGTATTAGTGTCACTGGAGATGTAAGTGGCAGTTAGTCAGTCCCCTCAGCGTCAATTAGTGTCAAATTGCCTGTCGCAGTATCTCAGTCCCACTAAAAGTTGCTGAACTAGTATAAAATAAATAAATACAAATTGCAGTATCTATACCACAGTTTGTAGACGCTAAAACGTTCACACAACCCAATCAATATACACTTATTGAGATTTTTTTTTTTTGCCAAAGACATGTTGCAGAATATGTTTTGGGCAAAAATGTTTGTAGAAATTTGATATTTTAATTTTTGTTTTATATTAGATATGTTTTATGGCAAAAAGTAGAAAATATTGGGCTTTTTTCAAAATTTGTTTTTTTTTAATTTATATCGCAAAAAATAAAAAAACAAGTGGTGATCAAATACCACCAAAATAACGCTCTATTTGTGTGAAGATAATTATATAAAGTTTGTTTGCGTACAGTGCAATCACCAGTTAAAATAGCGCAGTGCCGAACAGCAAAAAATGGCCTGGTCATGAAGGGGGTAAAATCTGCCGAAGCTCAAGTGGTTATTAAAGTTAATAGCAGTACACTAAGGTGCCTTTTAGCTTTTAATTTTAAAAGTTGTTGGGTATTACACGAACGGTCAAATTGTAGTATGATCCGATGTAATGTGCCGGTCTGACTATATATGGGGCACAGAATGATTGCAGCTAAAAAAAAAAAAAAAAAATTTAATTTGTGATTCCTATTATCATTGCTGACTGAGCAGTAATAGGTCAGAGTCTGCATACTATTTTATAGAGATCACAATTTTCACAAAATCTTGCAAATGTGCATGTCGCATGAAAAAAATGATCACTTTGGATGGAACAATCTACAGTAAAGCTTTCATAAAAGGCTACCTATACTGCTAATGTGCCAGCATTCCATTGTGCCCAGCACTCGCCAGAAACATCTCATATATAAGACTTGTATTTAATACAACCCCGTCCATTGCAGGGTTCAGCCCTTTTGGACAGGAACACAATTATAAATTCAAAGTGGACACTGATATGAGAATTGCTGTAATTATCTTCACAATGTACATGGCACTTATAATAAACTGCTAATTGGGAAGTGAAATTGTCAACAGGGCTGCGTATCCTGTATACAGTATCCTTAAAATATTAAGATATTTTATTACATCAATTTCCTAACAATAATTTATTGCAATAAAACAGACACCGAAGGTCCTCTTAAATTGTCTTTTCATAATGAATAAATTTAAACCGGCTAATTAATATATAAACTAGCCCGATTTGTCAAGTTGATTTGTATTTTAGTTAATTGTGAAGGTAATTACCACATGGTCAAATTAACAGCTTTCTGGAAATGACCAAGGCTGGGATTTTATTTCCTTCCTGGGTGAGGAAAATTCATTTTCCCAGCTCTTGATGTGATGCATAAAGGCTATAAATCTGGGTGATTGGTGCAGGCAGAGTCTAAATGGCTTCATATTTCATTTTAGCTTTAATAGAAATATTCATGGGCTGTTTTAATGAAATTAAATTGAGGGGGAGGGTTGGAACTGTTGCTCTTTAAAGGGAAAATACAAGGGTTTAACCATGTCCCGACCAAACGGACCAGGAAAGTGCCTATCGTGTAACTGTTGGTGCCATCCATGGTGAGCCCATTTACTCCTTAGTGTCTGTTCACACACACAAAAGAAAAGAAATTTATCTGGAACCTGATTGGGTATTTGAAGTGAATACAGGCATAGGTGACAATCACAGCATTAGTAAATCAAGCTCACTTAGTAAACTGTTTCACATGTAAGTTAATATATATATATTTTATTTCAGGTACTTATATAGCGCTGTCAATTTATGCAGCACTTTACATATATTGTGTACATTCATATCAGTCCCTATCCCCCAAGGGGCATACAATCTAAGGTCCCTCACTTACATTCATACATACACATACTAGGGCCAATTTAAACAGGATTCAATTTACCTACCAGCATGTCTTTGGAGTGTGAGAGGAAGCCAGAGTGCCCAGAGGACCCCTGTGCAGGCACAGGGAGAACATGCAAGCTCCAGGCAGGTGGTGCTGTGGCTCAGATTTGAACCAGTGACCCTGGTACTGCCAGGTGGAAGTGCTAATCCTTTAGCCACTGTGCTGCTTGCAGTATATGTAAACCTTCACCTTGTAAAACAACCTATACAGTTTAAAATAGAAATGAAAGGTAAAACAATTGTGTGTAGATATAAAAAAAAACATTATGAATACCTTTCCCCCCTCTTTTTTTACATGATCACATTCCCTCTGTTCCCAGTTGCATAGAAAACTGGGAAAACTGGGGAGGAGAAACAGCAGCACATTGGTCTTCCCAGGGAATGGCTGTGTGGATTGGGGGGGTTCGTGTCAGCACAATTTTGATAATTGGAGGAGAGCAGACTGAGTTTCCAGCAGGGGCGGACTGAAAACTCATAGGGCCCCCGGGCAATAGGGGATCATGGGGCCCCTGTGTCCTTGCCCACACTCAGAAAAGCCTATGAAAAAAGGTACCAGGGGCATCTCATGGGGCCCCCTACTGACCCCGGGCCCTCGGGCAGTGCCTGAGTTTCCAAATGGTCAGTCCGCCCCTGGTTGAACTGACCATGCTGTGTTCTCATGCCTAGTGTGGTCAGTTTTAAAAAAAAAAATAGGAAAGCAAAAGGTACTGGAAGGAACACCAGGGATTTCACGCAAAGGAAGCAATACAAAGGGAACAGGATACTGTTTCATACAAGTACATGGTACAACAGGTACATATCAGGAGTATGAAATGTTGGGTTTACATATTCTTTAACACTTCGTTGTTAAAGAATATGTAAACCCAACATTTCATACTCCTGATATGTCCCTACTGTATCATGCACTTGTATCCTGTTCCCTTTGTGTGAAATCCCTGGTAACCATGCTCAAAACTGGATCAATTCTTTTAATGTTTAGGTGTGTGCCTGGACTTGGGTGTGCTTCCAGATGTGAATGAATAGATATAAAAGAGGTTTGTAGTTTCCTTCCTTTTAACAGGGTAAACTTAAAATGGTATTAAACCCCCAACAAACATGTAATATACCGCAGTTTACCTATCATTAGATGTAGTGGCTGCATTAGTTTTCTTATTTTAGGCCTTTTTCCCTGGTGATCTGGCCAGTAACACACCTCCTATATTAGAGGGCAAACACTCTGGAGAAAGGAGCACAGGGGGCAGATTTGGACAGCCACATTATCAATCTGGAGAAAGGAGAGTGTTTGGAAGTACCAGAAGCAGGGGCGGACTGACAACTCATGGGGCCCCCGAGCAATAGGGGATCATGGGGCCCCTGTGTCCTTGCCCAAACTCAAAAAAAGCCTATATAAAAGGTACCAGGGGCATCTCATGGCGCCCCCTAGTGATCCTGAGTTTCCAAATGGTCAGTCCGCGCCTGACCAGAAGATAGATACACCAACAATTTGAAGCTGAGCTCCAGCTAATACTGTATAAGACGTTGCAGAAAACAGTTTTTTTTTCCTTTTTGGATAAAGGTTTAACATAAATAAATAAAAGCAGATCATTTTAAGCACCCCTGCCAGTGTTAAATGATTTGTCTCATCCCTGGAACTGCAAGAGAGCATTTCTGTTGAAAAAACTACAGACTTATTGGTTGGATCCATACATGTGTAACTTTTCTATAAACAAATAAAACAAATCAAACCAAAATATAAAAAAATAATGTCCAAAAGTCCCACCGTGTCCAAAAAACAAAAATACAAATAAAAATACAAATAAAAATAAAACAAAAAAAGTCCCACAAAAAAATAATCCTCACAAGTGTAAACTCAAAACACTTAAACTTTTTCTTCTTCTTGCATCACCACAAACCTTCTTAATACCCGCAGATCCTGATATTCATGCACCTCAAAAAGAAAAAGAACTCGACATAGTGTAATACCTTAAATAATGTAAACACACGTGCCACTATATGTGCCGCATGCAAAATCAATGTGTATACTCCAACCAAGTGTCAGAACACATAAGAGTGAAAACACATTCCCATAGAATATGTCATATAATGTGTGAGAAACCACTTCACAAATAAACTGCCAGTGTATAACACTACACCCTATGTATATGTAAAGTGGAAACCAACACCTAAAACACCACTCTCCAACTCTAATAAAGATGGGTAATTACCCTATAGAAGAATCAGCAGGGCAGATTAACCACTCAGGGTTACAATCTCCTCTCATTGATTTTCTCCAACGGTTAGGGTCACCTCCTCCACTTTCCTCCAGAAAACCAGTCAAAATAAAAAGGTATTCTTCTTTATTAATAACTCACATAACATTCCGTGGTAACAGCTCCTCACATAATATTCCGTGGTAACAGCTCCTCCTCACAAGCAGTGTGTACATGGACAGGTTCAGGGGAACATAAACCGCATGTTCCCCACTTCCAAGATGGCCGCGATCGCACTTCCGGTCAATGTCGATGCGTATGACGTCACGTGTCCCTATATAGTGTGTACTTGTCTCAATCCAGAGCACTAAGTGTCATTTCTGTCTTCTGCCTTGTTCCTCTGCTATCTGCATGTGTCGCTTCTGACAAGTTTTCCTGACACCAAGAAATGACACAAAAAGGTGACAGAGGAGGGACCTCCAGCACACAGCCTGTGATTGACAGCCTCAGCTCTGTTCCTGTGTGATGTCTGAAGGGGGTGTGTGTCCCTTCCCTTTAATTGGCTCTCACTGAGCTCTGCAGTGTGTAACTTCAATTCCCCACCCCCTGCTTTCTGCAAGCTTAGACAAGCTGTATACATTCTACACTTTGAATGGATGTACAGGACAAATGGCTGCAGATAAACAGGTACAACTTATGTAGGAGGATTTGTTTCATCTCTGTGTATCACCTGTGGCCAGTCACTTCACTGGATATACAACCCCTTGAAAGGGACCATAGAGTCACGTGTACAAAATACCAAGCCTGTAAAAAAAAATACAATTTGCTAACCATCTTGGCAGCACATGTGTTGAAATGTCATTTGCTCCACAGTAGGTATTCCACCCCATTCAGGTGTGTGGCATCCCTGCTCCCTGCTGTGTGCTGTGGTTCCTCCCCCTGGCTTCCTGTCCCTACTGGATGCACAAGCCCGCAGGAGAAATCACTGAGTTCCCCAGGGGTATCAGGGTACCCACCTGTAGGGTAAATACATGCAGTGGCTGAGAAGAAGTGAAATGGGTGGAATATCAACACAAAAGTAGCACTGCATATCATCTTTTCTATTACAGATTTGGTAGTGTTAGCCCCGGTTTACATATATGCGGCCATGCGGGCCGTGTTTTGTACGGGCACGAGAGCACATTCATGTCAATGGACTCCCGTGCCCATGACATGCAGGGAAGAAGTCCCTGCACTTCTGAAAACACAGCCCGCACGGGAACCTCGAACTAATGGCACCCGCCCGCGGGTCCGCATTTCTCTGTGTGGGTGGTGTGGTTGCACGGATTTGCGTGCGGATCTGCAGTGGCACCACCCGCACAGATGTGAACCTAGGGCTAACGAATGGCCCTCTGGTGACAGGGTCACATTAAAGTTCACAAAACTGTATTTTCCACTTTAAGATGTGCAGTAAAAAAAAAAAATCGCTACTAAAATAAGGCATTGATTATTTCATCAAAATGTGTGTTATTTATCTCATGAAACTGTGTGGTATTTTATTTCATGTCATATCCAGCAGGATGGATTGAGTGGAGAGGGATCAGAACCCCTGCAAGGTTGTTATTCCTGTCTGTGCCCCCCATTAGCGGGATTCACTCTCTCTATATCTACTGCTTCTCTTTATCACTGAAAGTGAAAGGAAAAAAAAATTCCCCCGTTTTGGGTTGACTTTGAACATTAATAGTAAGGAAATCTCCCCAATCTGACACAGATGGCAAACAAACCTGACAGGGGTTCTAACCCTCCATTACTCTCTCCAACATGAAAAAGAAAGTTTTGTCTTTAGTTACCTTTTATTGTCATTTTTGCTGTGATATTTGGCAAAGTCATAGTTCTACCTTTGTACAGGTCTGTTTTGTCACCATTCTCTGATGTTCTTGAAAGTGTCATTCTGGTATCCATCTGCCAAACCTTCAAACTAATGACACCCCAAATCCTACCAGCTCAAGTTCCACACCTTTGTAAGCATACTTACCTATTCCTAATCTAATTCTGTCTAGTCAAAATTTTCACCAAAGATCTCTCCAAAGATATTTGTGAAAATGTAAATTATCCCCACTACATATGACTTACGTTCTAACAAGAAATTAGACCAGTGGTCTCCAAACTGCTGCCCGGGGCCGGATGTGGCCCCTTGCTTGCTTTTACCTGGCACTTGGGGCAATATATTTCATCCACTGATACCAACAAGGGGGTGCTATTTCCCCTGCTGACACCAACGAAGGGGGACAATTCCTCTCACTGACACAAAAGAGAGGGAACTATTCCCCCCCAATGACGCCAACGATGGGGGACAATTCCTCTCACTGATATTAAAGATAGGTAACTATTCCTTCTAAAGACACCAACAATGGGGAATGATTCTTCCCAAAGACACCAACGATGGGACACAATTCCTCTCACTGACACCAGAACATTTTCTACTCCCAACGGCTGCAGTCTAGCCCCCTTAAAGTCTAAAGGACCATAAACTGGTCCTTTGTTTAGAAAGTTTGGAGACTCCTAAATTAGACCATTGTAATGGAGCAGGAGCTTCTTTTGGGTGACAAGATTCACTTGATGCGGTTTGCCATTATTGCAGCGTGATTTATCGTGCAACAATCGCAGCAGAACCGCACCATGTTTTTAGGTGGTTAAAATGAATGGCTTTTGAAATTCACATTGTGCTATCTGTCGTTTTAGCAAAGCATTTTGAAATTGCAGGCATAATCATGGCGATTCGGACTGCGATTCAAAACGTCCAGGTGAGAATGGGGCCTCAAGGCTAAGTCAACCTATTACAAAAAAATAATAACATGTATTTGCAGGCAAAAAAAATGTTCACTTATAATTTTTTGTATATCAGCCCACAAAGCATTGCAACTGCAATCAGTACAATGCCTGGCTCATGCAGACTCTTCCTCCAGCTCCCTGTTCGTACCGAGGTATGAACTTTCAGTTGGGAAGCTTGAGGAAGTGTCAATGGACTACGAGTGTGGTGATTACCATAATGGTGTTCCATTCAGAACTACAAGTCCTTCTGCATCGGTGGCAGGTGGGACTTGTAGATCAGTCATTCACAGATACTGTATCTGTGAATAAATAATATGGCTGTGTGATATATGAGATATGGGTGAAACATACAATATAGCATGGGGAAAAAGGTGGAGGTGTCCTTTAAAGTGGAGTTCCAGTCAAACTGTAAAAAAATAAAAGTCATCAGCTACAAAAACCGTATCTGCTGACTATTAAAAAATAGCCACTTACCTGTCCCTCGATCCCACAGTGTGCTCCCCGCAGCCCGTTTCACCAGCTGTCCTGTGTTCCCGACAATGGCATCTTCAGTGTGGGCACCCATGCTCGAGTAGTGCTGCACTTTGTGAATGGTCCTGTAGTCTTCTAGGAGCTGTCACATGTCCCAGAAGACTATGGGGAGGGAGGACAACTTCCGCTTTCGATTGCATAGGTGATTGCAGCGGGATGGGTATCTGCCACTTTTTGGTACCTGCTCTCCCCCCGCTCCCCAAAGGTGCCAATCCTTAATGGGGAGCTCTGGACCAGTCCTTGAAGCGGAATTCCCCCTTTTTGGGTGGAGCTCTGCTTTAATGTGAAGCTGTTGCATTACTTTGCATTGACAAATTTACAGTAGATTGGCTTTAAACTCAACCTGTCAGGTTCTAAAAAGATTCTAAAACAACAATAGTGTAAACAGTGGGAACTTTGTGGTATCTGGAAGTACCTGTGCCAATCTTCAAGTTTATAAATGTTTGTGGTACCTCTGGTTCCTGGACACATGCTCTCAGCAATAACTCTATTTCTGTCCAAGTCAGCTCTAAGGCCAACACCTCCTGGAACTAAGACCCACCCCTGATTATTGAAACGATAGAGCTTTAGTATCTTGAAGAAACTTTGAAAGTAGGCTGTAGGGGCGGGCTTAACCTGAACTCTAAGCCCTCCCCCAGAGGATCCTGTGTATGACATATGGCCAGGATCCAGTGACTACTCAGGCACAGAGATAACGATTTGAAACAAAAAGAGGTACTGCCTGCGGTTTAGCGGTATCATTAATTTAGAAAAGTTTTAGGACTGGACAGTTTTGGTTTAATAGAGGACAGTAATAGATTTGTGCCTTTTAATTATATGTTATGTATGATGCGTGTAATTATTACTACATTATTTATTTATAGCCCTTCTGTATTCTGTAGCAGTTTTAAATCACAAATGGAAAAACAAGAATTATTATAACAATGAAAGATGTT